GCCTTATCTAGATCTCTTAATTAAGCGATGTTCAATTTAAGGAATATTGGAGCTTCAGGGATTGCATTGGCGCAGCGCAGCACTTGCAGAGCTATTGTGCGACGAGGGGCTGGCGCAGTACTTCAGCACCATGGCGCGTCCATCTGAGGCCAGAACATCCACATGGCAACGGAGGGCCGCAAGCACGTCCGGCAAGTAGGCGCGGCAGTTCTGGTTGAAGGCGTCCTTTGGATGATGCAGCTGAATCGTCCCAGAAGGTGTTACCTGGGTTGGGGCCTCGCGATGCGGCCAGCCGCTTGAAGTCCAGTCAAGCTGCGAACCCAGTACGAGGTCTCGCATCTCTGCATCCGCTTCGCCGGGGAGATCTGCGCGGATTGTGGATGCCAGGTCCATGTGCTGTAGCTTCTCAGTGTCAAGCCAAAGCAAGATGTGGATGTGCACTGTGCCACGCCCGTGGTAGAAGTGCGCATCACGATAAACACCTCTTTTTCGCTTCCCATCCTGGAATTCGAGCCTGACCACCCAACAGCGCACCTTGCCAGATCCCTGGCCAAACAGATGCTCCTTCGCAGGTCGGCCATTTTTCTTGTTGGCGCCTGCGAGCAATCCCTTCACCGCCTCGGTGAGCACGTGGGCAAGATGCAAGGTCTCGGAGACGGGCATGCGCAGCCGCGACTTCAAGCTTTTGAGAAGTTCGTCCTGATTGCAGGGGTGATGCTGGCGCTGTCTGTAATCTTATTACACCCGACTTCTCACTTTGCTGTTTAGGTTACATTTGCTTTCTCGGACTGACCTTGGGGGGTAGGACTCTTGTCTTTTGCGCAAGTCCGACCCCGAATTTGCCTCATCTGGCCCAGACCCAGGGTCTCGGCGCGAAAAAGGGGGTCTGGGCCAGAAGAGGTGCCTGGAGCCATATAACCCGCGCGCTCCATGCGTTTCTAAGCTTACGCTCAATCAGACTAGTTAGCAAGACCGTATGACGTCTGCTTTTGTTAGATGACAGGTTTTTGCTTAAAGATGAAGAGAGTCCTTATAAGGATTGCTTTGACAAGAGCCCGTCCTCCAGCCAGCGATGGTATGGGAAAGACCACTCATAAGGTGCCACCGTAATGAAAAGACTCGGCCATCCGATCTGCTTCTGGAGGTCTACCAGTACCATGTGATAGGTTCGCCAGGCCTCTGGAGAGTACGGTTTCGATGCAAGCGCCTCTCGAATGCCGGTGCCAGCGGAGTTCTTGGCACCGCCCAGGGTCGTGAACAGCCACAGGTCGTAGACGAACTGCAGCAGCTGGCTATCGGAGTTGTAGCCGATGAGAGCCGAATGGACCTTGGCAAGAAAACTGGCCTTTGCGCTTTGCCGTGATCCGCCTCCCGGCTCCATGTCTGGGTTAGCGTCGTCCTCATCCCAGTCATTTGGGTCGACTGCTCGACGATGGCGCCTCAGCCTTCTGACATCCTGTGACCGCACATGCGTTTCTGTCATCTTGTCGCGGAGAGCCGCAAGGAAAGCATCCCGGGAACAGAATAGGCAATGCTCGAAAGCAGCTCCGTCCCTCTTTCGAGTGTATGGCTTTCCCCGTCCGCCTAGCTTGCCCAGGCCAAAGTTGCACTCTGCACGAGCGCATTGCGCACGACTGGCTCGCTTTTCTTTGCCTTTTTCTTGGCTGCTGCCTTGGATGGTTTGTCAGTGTTGTCGTAATACTCGAGGTCCACCCAATCCACACATCCAGTAGGGCGCCGGTGTGGCTTCGGATTGGTATGCCTGCGCATCCTCCAGTACCCAAGCATGTATGTTTTTATACCGAACGACGCCGAGGTCGTCGATCATGTGCAGGTGGCGGTTGGCTTCCAGCTCCTCCCTGCTGATGAGGCGGCTCTCGCGGACAGTCATCTCGCCCACTAGTGTGCCAGAGCCAGATTCTGCGCTCGTTGAGGTGCTTGCTGCATGCTTTTCCTCGGATCTCCCAGGCCTTGCCCTCGTGCAAAATCTTCTGGCACCACTTCGGCTTTATGGTGAATGCCCACCGCGGGGTGGAACTGGATGCTTCGGCCTGTTCGCGAGGGCGTTTGGCCCCGCGGCCTCCATAAGGATCTTCCAGCAACTTGATCTGTTTGTCCGCTTCTTCTGGCCCCAGTACTTCGTGGATTTCTTGGATCTTCTCCAAGAACTTGTCCGGGTCTCGCCAAGATGCATCGAAGAGGTCCTCGGTGAACTCTCGCTGCGAGAAGTCGTTGGCATCATCCGCATCCTCCACAGCATGCCTGCGTCATCCACTAAATGCAGTCGGGAGCCACGTCAGGACATGAAATCTCTGAGTTCGGGACTCAGAATCGTGCAATGCCACTTCGTCTCCAGAGCCCATGGTCAGGTCAAGAACGTCATGCAAGGCTATGCGGCGTGTTGGTGAACTCCGTCAAGCAAAGGCGAAATAGTCTACCGGAAAAACAGAGAAAATTGGAAGGGTAAGAGCCAAACAGTCTGACCACAAAAGCGGAGAATTTGAAGGGTAAGGGCCAAACAGTCTAACCACAAAAGCGGAGAATTGGAAGGGTAAGGGCCAAACAGTCTAAGCGTAAAAGCGGAGAATTTGAAGGGTAAGGGTCAAACAGTCCAACCGTAAAAGCGGAGAATTTAAAGGGGAAGGACCAAATACTCGACCCGCAAAAGTGGAGAACATGAAGCGTTAGGGGACAAACGAGTGCATTTACACCAATCACAACCCATGATGCACAA